GGGGGGCAGTATTGCCACAGCCGGATGTCAAACTTGCTGATACTCCACTCACACATGTACGCTATTCGCTGGTTCAGGGGGTGGTGATGCATGCATGTGTTTTTTTTTTTTTACTCGCCCCCCCTGGGGGGTTGTGTATTTTTCCTAGTTTCGATTGTTATCTATGAGTTTTCAGAAAGTCTTTAAACGCTCGTTAATGCCGAGCTTTTGCTGCTTTTTTTTTTAATGATTTTTTAGAGCTACTTGGGTTTTGTTTTTTTTTTTTGGTGATATCGCGGTTTTATTGGAATAGGTTTATTTTATTGGGAGCATTTACGGGTGTTCATCTCGTGTAGTATACTTGCTTTTTTTTTTTTTGCTAGGTTGTTCACACGTGTGAGTGGATAATATTAACAAATTGTCTGGGCACTCACCTCGTCTAGTTTTTTTTTGTCGGAGGAGTCTCTGAATGTCACGCCTTGATGATCGCGTTACCACCGTTATATATATTTTTTGTTACTCCCATGACCCCAGCGTTTTGTCGCAAGTGCACTCGTGTGTCTCGCAGATTCAACAGCAATTGAAAAGCAGAAAGAATGTAAAAACGTAAAATCGTAGATCAATGGAGTAGCTATTGTGCCAAGTTGATCGATGTGACCCCAACGTGATGTAATAATTGCCAGACACGTGTCGCCTAATGTACAATCATGTGAAAAATAATTTCAGTATGCCCTCGAGTAATGATAAATTTTCCATAGCGTGACCTAGGTCCCCACCATATTTGACAAAGTCTCAACATTCGAATTACCTATTTAACTTCCATTTCAACGAATTTCCATAGCTAAACATTGACTAATGACTTATGAAAACTCAATGGAAGAAAAAATTACCCATATGTCAGGATGAAGAGATTTGGTTTTGATTGAAATCATCGAATGGCCCTCGGAAATTCCCCAAAAATACAAATTCATTGAGGGAGAGCTATTGGAGGGGATGCCGAGAAAACCCGAAAGATTCTGATGCACGAGGGGTTCATTAAATCGTGGGGTGAGTACCCCCTCCCACCTCTCTCCCCTTCATCATCTCCTATTATTGTTTCATTATTATTTTTTCCTCTTCTAATACCTCTCGTACTGCTTTTCACGAAGAGGAGAGGGAGAGCCCCCCTCTCCCCCTTCTCCACCCCCCCTCCCCGCTCCATCGCAGTCATATCCCTCGGCACGACCGACCATAATGAAAGATATTAACTACAATTTTATATCGAATTACTGCTGAAACACATTTCAAATTACTTGGGCGTGTACCCGCGGAATTGAGAGAGGCAAACGGAGAATGAAGATTTTGGTAGCTATGATTGGTGGATGAAGTAGCTGAGCGTGATGCGATTGGTTGATGGTGGTGATGGGTGGGGGATATTGTGGGGCGTTACCCGAGTGGGATATGGCCGCCCAGGGGTAGACACCGAGGTACAAGCACCAACTGAGTTCGCTGGAGGGAATTGAGAATTCAGTCGAGCTAGCTCAATGCATACGTTCGCACGCACCACGCGTCGCTCCCTTAATTTTCATTTTGATTTTCCACCTGGAGAACATCCAATTGTGATACATGATTATATTATTTATTAAAAATTTTTTTAATTTAGTGGATGGATTTGACCTGTGAACTTTTGAGTTTGACAAGTGTTATAATTTATTGAGTTAAGTGACTCTGGGAGGGAGGGAGGCAATTGTTTTTGTGAAGTTGATGAAAAAATGAACCATGTGTGCCCAAGGATAATTCCCTATTAAATATATAGGCTGTAAATATATAAATATAAATTCCGAGGGAATTACGGGGAAGGAGAAAAAAAAAACGAAAGCGGAAATGGTCAACGGGTGCGCTTCTGTGCGCGGCAATTATGTTAAGTGGCCAATTAGTAATTAAGTTGAGGAACTGAGTGGAGCTCGAAAGGAGCCCTTAATTGGTGGACGAAGCGACACAGTTGATGATATAAAAGGATATATTTTATTCTGATAATCGGATTAATCGATGAGATTGGTGTGAATGTTTTTGTGTGAAGTGATACCGTCGGCAAAATTCTGTCACGAAGTGATAGAAGTAGCAGGTTGTCATCGGTGCTCGCCATGACGGTCCATCATCAGAGTCACCACGTTGCCGCGTTGAATGGTATTGCTGTGCAGGCGGGTAATACCGGCGGTGGATTAAATCTAAGTCGTATGACTGGCCTCGAGGCACATCATCGGTCTATCGAGAGAATTGATGATAGATTAACAAATTCAAATAACAATAGTAACGGAAATATTGATAGATCTGAGGTATCAACGACAATGCCACACAGATCGAGATTTATGATAACGGATATTCTTGCCGACGCGTCGAGTCCATCGAGTTTACAGAGCCAAGAGCCACCAGGTAGTCCTTCGTCGGCTCCACGTGATCTCAGTGTCAAGCCCTCGAAGCACCAGGGTCACAAGCGCCAGAGGGATGACGATAGCGATGCTAGCCACCACGACGGAGCTTCCGTCTCATCCAACGGTATTTTCTTTTTATTTATTTTTTAATTTCCTCTTTTTTTCCTTTTTTCCTTCTTTCCTTTTTTCCCTTTTTTCCCTTTTTTCCTTTTTTTCCTTTTTTTCAATTTTTTGTCATTTTTTTTTTCTCTTTTAAAATTTTTTTTATTGTATACTGATGTATAGTTAGAGGGTTAACTATCCTGCGGACTTCCTGGAGGTGGGCCACGTCAGGTCGTAGACATTAGAGCCATTTAATGACTGACTACAATATTTTTCGAGCTTACGGTGTGCCACACGCTCTAATTATACCTATACCCTCCACTGGTTTCATTCATACCTGAAGAGAGCGTCGGTTCATCCTTTCATCTGAAAATATCACAAATGTTTGTCTTACTCTGATCACCACCATCTCCATCTCTCCACACGTGTGTCGTAATATCCAAAAGAGCTCATTCGGCATTGATGGTTAATGACAGGGATGCCTAAAACGTTTCCATAAATTTCTCGTTTCCTCGTTTTCTGGAAATCAAAGAAATTCAACTTTAAATACATGTTATTAACCATTGATGATATTTTTCCTGAATGCTGAAGATGAAAACGAACAAAAAATCAAAGAGACTGCAAATTACGGATGACAAAAAAGTCATTTGTTTTGCGATAACAATTTTACAAAGACAGAAACTAAGATTAAAATTATATCAGTCGTAATTATACACCGGCTAATGACGGACTCCAATAACAAGGGAACACACACACAATAATCTTTCTAACGATACGAAAAATTACGTTTCCTTTATCTAATAACACGCCTCAACGAGTTTCTCGCGTTATCAAACGACAGTTAAACCGTGCATAATAATCCCAACTCATCTGGAACAGAAGCACTAATAAGATGTAATTAATAAAAAGTAGCGTAAGACTAGTAATCGTTAAAATCCTCGACATTTTTATAAACTGAAAAATAATGCTATAAGAAAAATGATAAATGGGAAAAAATGGAGTTTTATCAAAGTATGAATTTTGCACTGAGAAATTACTGCAAGAAAAATAGCAGTAAATTACCCAATGACTTTAAATTTCCACTCGGTAAATAAAGAAGTTTTCCTAGACCGATGAGAAATTTGACTGTCATTTTTATTGAAAGTACTGGTAATTTTTTTTACTGTCCGATAAAATTGAAACAATTGCTGATAAGCAATGAGGGGAAAAAATAATAATAAAATAAAAAAATATGTAATAAAAATAATGAATGAATAAAAAATAAAAATTCATTGGTGTTTATGAGGAAGGGATCCTAGGGAGAGGATCAGGGGGCAAGACGCGCGTGTACGAATCAAGTTAATCCGCTTAGAGTGTTGCCTCGCCCGTTATAAAACGTCACTCTCGTCTCACCTATACACGAAACGCCAGTTTCACGGCTTGTCAGTAAAGAGTCCACAGAATCCGCGTCAAATTCTCATATAATACCTGGGGGCTTGGAGACTAATCCGAGAACCGGAAATGATTGGCAAGCGTTTAGCCCGTGACTTCAACGGCTCCAGACATTTGTGTGCTCAGCCCATTGACATCATTTTCACCTGTGGGATTATAAATATATATTTTTAAAAATAAATAAACTTATTCATCCGAATAAATGATGGGGTGTTGGTGCGATGGATCATGCTAATGAATAAAAAAACATGTAAATTCGCCCGCGCACTATCTCGACAATATCCTAAAGCTGTCGAATGACTTTTTGCATTGTGTACCGGAGACTGGGTAGTCGTTGGGATTCGTGGAGATTTTTTTAACGCGTCCTAACGAGATTCACGAATAAGCCTCTTAACCCCTGGCATTGTCGGGCTTGACCTCTCCATTCTTCTTTTTCTCTTTCTCAAATTTTTCATTTAATCATCGCCTTTGATTACCCACAACAGCACCTGCAAAAAAATTATTATTTATACTCACAAAAAATGCTGAGACAGTTACAGACAGTCTCCAAAATTTTTTAATGAAAATTAATCAGAAAATTAATGAGTTAAAATCGCTTTTCCGGGATTCTGCCATTTTTCCGGGCTCTCCCCTATATATATATGTATATATATATATCCATGTGCCTATTTTTATGCGGCATCTATTTGTCGATAACCGTCTTTAATCGTCTCGAATGATTTTTAATCGTCTATTATTTTTAGTCGTTGGTTGCTCATGGCTATCAAATGGAGCAATAAAATTCCGTCCTCATACTTGACTGTACCCACCCCATCAGGGAATGTACACGAGAATCAGTACAATAGCCCCAAGGGTCAGATTCGGCAAAGAGGGGATAAATTCGCTGTGACAATAACCAACCCAGGGGTTGAAAAAAGTGTCACGACTCCACATGAAGAATAATGCGTATATACATAACACTCGAGGGGTCATGCTCATACGAATTTCCATGAATTCTTCATGGTGCATCCTGAAGGATTGCACATGTGAGAAATCTCTAGTCTTTTACGCAACGGTGACTACCAGTATCAACACTCACTTCAAATAAAACAATAATCTAATAAAACATGAGACAATAAAGCACGAGGAAGTGGAACTGCAGTCGTAAAATGGAAAAACCACTTGAGATCATGTACATGGTGCAAGATATTTTAGGGAAAGTTTTATATACTCTTCCGTTTCCCTCATGTATTTTATACATTGAATAGTGTAGATGTAACACACGGCATTGTAAAACGGAAAACACGCAGGAGCATGACGCGATGACGATCGCGACGCGCTAGCTAATTGCACTAGCACGGAGGCGTAATTGTTCGATAAACATCCTGTTAATCACGCTTTTGTGAATTCGCGACGATCCCACACCGGGGCACACATGGGATACTAATCTCCACCTCATTATTATATTTATATATTTTTCACCAGAGTGTGTGCATCCGGTCGTTGACTCCATATACCATTGTCCCTGGGAAATTTTTTTCTAATCATCATCCACTCTCTCATGTACTCTACTCTTAATAAACCTCGAAAATTGCATGTGTGCATATTTAAACGGTAGGCTCAACGAGAGGATTGCACAAGTGGATGGTTCCACAAATTATATAATTACTCTTGGTACAATATTGTTGCGTGAATAGATATCAAAGTGAAAAGAAAATTAAGGAAAGGGGATGAGATGATAAAGGGGAGACTGAGGGTGTTCTCGAGTTACTTCTTGAGAACGAGGAAGAAAAATTGCGTGGGGTACGAGGTGGTGGGAGGGGTCGGTGG